CCAGGAAACAACACAAAAATATTCAAGAGTATTGACTTAAAAAAAAAAAAATTTCAATAAAAACATGACAGTACAGTAATACAGTACATCTTGCACCAAATGGTATCAAAAGAATCATTAACACTAACAATTTAAAACAAAACTTACAGTTCTAAAAGGGCTGTTTAAAAAGGTGAGTCTTAAGACCTTTTTTAAAGGCCTCCACACCTTGTGGGGCTCTCAGGGACTCTGGGAGGGCATTCCAGAGCCGTGGAGCTAAATTTTGCTGTTTCCATCCGACTTTTTTTCGCATTTTTAATGAGACATTTCTAATTGCGCATCATGGAAACACTGTTATTTTTAGGCTAATTTTAACTTTTCAGGATCTATTCTGCTAATTTAAACTTTTTGGTGTTTTTTAGCCATTTTAACTGCTTTTTCTTTGTTTTTAAGCTACTTTTTAGGCAATTTAAGCTTAATTTCGGTAATTCCACTTTTGTGATGTCAGTTTCAAATATGTGCTCATTCTGGTTTTTCTGTGCTAATTTCAGCTATTTTTCAGCATTAAGCTTTGACACTACACGTTGGCAGGACTGTATGAGTTTTTAGCTCACCCTGTCCGTCTCAGTCGTCAGTTTACGGTTTTCTTTTGTCAGCAGGTTTTTCTCTCGGTCGTGTTTCTCCTTCAGAGCAGCGACAGCTTCATCCATCTCAGTTTGCCTGCAGAGACACAGCCCTGGTTCAGAACAATCCTCCTGTCTCCTCTTTAAGCCTGGCTCTGGACTCACCTGTCCTTGTTGGCTTTGTCCAGCTTGTCTCGGAGCTGCAGCAGCTCCTTGTTGGCGGCGAGCCTCCCCCCCTCGGACTCCTGCAGGTCTTTGCGGAGGGTCTTGAGCTCGGTGGAGTGGGCCGAGTCCTTCCTCAGCAGCTCCTCCTCGTAGAACAGGACTTTCTTATCCAGCTCCGCCTTCAGACGGGATAGCTCCTGCTGAGACTCTGCGCCTCCTGCTCCTCCTCCTGCTGCTGCTCCTCGACCCTGCTGAGACTGAGACCACAATCCGGATGATTGAACTCTGCTGCCTTCAGGGACCGTCTGCAGGTTTAGACAAGGTGAGGGTGTTTCCTCGGACCTTCAGGCTCTGCAGCTCCGTCTCCAGCTGTTTGGAGTAAACCTCACTGTTTTCTCTCAGCTTCCTCTCCTTCGATGCTTCTGCTTTGGATTCATCCAGCTGAGCCTCCAGCTGACAAACACAAAAACAGGATGCTCTTATTTTGAAAAGAACAATCACATTTAGTAGTGGTGTAAGAAAATATTGATACACTGAAATATTACGATATTTCATTTACCGATACTGTATCGATATTCTAAAGCCCTGTATCAATTTTTTATTAAGATTTAAAATGTCAACTTTCCTGCCAGCCGTTCATTTTTATGTTGTAGTTCAGCCT